TCAAATTATAAACTTTATGCTGCCGGCATATTGATTTAATTTTATGCATAGAGCTAAATTTTCTCGGCAATCTGTTCACCGAGGCAAAAGTGACCAGTATTCTAATGCAGTGTAATCCGCGGTAGGTAAAAAAAATTGTTGATTTTGATGTTAACAGAACATAACCACTTCCTTCTGGAGCAAATACACTGGCACCTCGAGTCAGCGTTGCACTACTCGAGCCTATATAGAATGCCACAGCATATGCTGTTGCAAGTGCATCATCAGAATCAAAACTTTTATTTTCAAAATATTTCATTCTTTTTAAACTTCATTTATCATTTCCGCCCTCCCTTTCATGTATGGAATGCATAGTTCACATAGTTTGTCAAATGTATAACGACCATTTTCGATAAAACTTAAACTATTAGATTTAAACTATCTTCAAAAACAATAGGCTTTTGTTTTGTACTAGATAAATTATTTATCTCAAGTGCGGATAGCGTATTAAAAGATCCATTACCGATGATGATTTTGATTTATCGTTTTCTATTTTATCACATAAATCTTCGGCAGAAATTTAAGTGAATTACACCATACAATAGATTGTATTCTCGTACAAATATAAAGTTTCAAGCATCGAATCGTGGTTACAATCAACGACATGAAATTACAAACAATAATGGTGCTAATTACGAATAGGACGATTAAATTCTTGTTCAATCTACTGATTGTTCTGTTCCGAGAGGTTAACAGTGTTAGTAAAGTAATCAGAGGAGTACATTAAGAATGGAGCAAAGTGTTTGTTCAAACTCATAAAAACAAAGGTTTACAAATGTTAGTTAAAAATGACATATAAGACTGAAGCCTAGACTCTCATTTATTTTTTTTCCTATTTATTATCTTGTTTCCTTTCGAAGACTAATATGGATTTTTTATTTTATCGTTTTTATTTTTAGTTTTCATGTTACAATCCAAGTCATAAGTAAACATTTTCGAGTACAAACTGAGTTTCATCTTAAGATGCTGTGAAGATTTAGTTTACGATAAAACTTCGAAGCTTTTTACATCACGCGCAATATGCATCTTATTCCAAGAAATTGATAAAAGTCAGGATTTTTATTTTTCCAAAATTTTACATTTTTTTTGTATAGTACAATTCTCAACGTGATTTAAGAGAAAACAGTGCGTGAACTTTTCATTTTTGATCTGTTACTTTAGTTAAAGAAATAGGTGAAACCTATGTGGATGATGTTAATGTTGCAACTGTTGGCTTTTTTGGCATCCAAATGCCTGGATGCATTGGAATAAAGAGACCAAATGCAACAAGCATTAATAATGTATCAAAAATGTAGAAAAGTACTTCACTTGTTGCCACATAGCCTCTAAATCCAGTTACAAATTCAACAATACGATAAATTGAACGTAGAATTAATAATGTCATACTTAAATATAAAGCATAAAATATATAACGCCATTTTTCATTTTGATTTTCTGTTTCTGCTCTCTTTTGTTGTTGTCGTCTTTTCCTTATTGAATAATCCAAATATATAGTAATAATAGAAAAAAAGCAAAAACTAATTAAGTTAATCACTAGTCCAGCAATAAGAATATCTTGACCAATACTAATTTTACTCGTATCAGTTGAAGTTAATAGAGCAGCTCCACCTCCTTGAACAACGATTGAAATAATATCGGACGCAATAAATGCCCACTCAACAATTAATGGATTTACAAGAGAATATTCACGGCCAACATATCGAATCAGTCTTCCCACAAGTACATAATTAGTAAAAGCAAGGCCTACGGGTGCTAATATAATAAGACAGAGCATAATTATATAACTAAAGAGAAACACATAAAGTCCTATAAATAAATGAGACTAAGAGTAAACAATAACATACGGCGTTCGAAGGTAAACATTTGATGATAGGGCACATCTTAAACCATAACCAACACTTTCAGCCACGCCAACAATTGACATTACAATGAAATACACTATGCCATAATAAATACTTTGAATACTGATAATGATCGTAAATAAACTGTAAACAACTGTTGCTGCTACTGCTAGACCAAATACTGGAGTATAACCAAATGGATTGACTAAGAAGTAAAAAAGTAGAAATAAGTAATGGAATAAAGAAAAACATCTTTACTGTTTTACGTGTATAATCAGATGAATTGGTGCTCATTTCGCTTATTATTGACTACAATAAAGGAGAAGAATATAAGTAACTGAATGAAACATATAAAAAGTGAGTTATAGACATTTTTCCATGAGTTCTTCGCTTTTCTCAGTATATTTCTACCTATTCTCTTATTGATTACGACACCCTTCTTTGTCAGGCATCTCATGTCTTTTTTCTTTTTTTTATTTAAACATTTTAAAATAAATTCTTTTCTGACAGAGTGAATGTAACAGAGCAGAGAAAGAAAAAAGAGGTTCGCGTACTTTGTATAAATAAAAGTACGAAAAGTACGCGAACTGTAAATTGTTGCAACTTGAGAACATACGATGAATAAAATGATTAATTTCCATCAGTCAATTTGCAGACCTCATCTAGTTATCGATGTAGCAAGAGTTTCTTAGCTATTGCACAAGTTTTGAAGGAGCTACAAAAATTTTATTGATTAGTATGGCAAAATCGAGAATTTTTGAGTATTTTTATAAAAAAAGAAACTTTGTAAGTCTGTTAAAACTTATCCAATAGCTAAGAAACGTTTTCTATGTCGATAACTTGATGCGATCTACAAACTGGCCAAATTAAAACCTGTTGATTCGCCATTTCATCTATCTAACTTATGCTCGATGAGTTTAATCGTCTCTTAAAACTCGCGTAATCTACGAGCATCAATCATTTAAAATCTTGTACAAAGTTGTTAGATTAAGTAAACAAATATTTAACGATAAGTCTCTTTATATATTATACTGACTACTAAACCCTCATAACTTTTATTTAAAACCTTACTAGTAGCTGAATCGTCGTGTAACTCATTAGTTTAGAACACAAATATACCAGTAAATATTTAGGAGGATGGCGTTAAGATGCGTACGTACGATCTCTTTATAACTGTTTAATATCAGCGCTCTTTTCTTCTATTCAATCCACACAGTGTCATTATGCGGTTCACACTTAGTGGAAGTAGTACATAAAATCTAACTATCCATTGGTGTGATCTAAAGCGAGATCAGTTCGTGCTGAAACTCAAGCGAACAATGTGGCTGTTAGTGACACAATAAAACGTCAGATCGCTAAGTTTTCTATTTTCTGAAAAATATCTGAGCATAATGTGTAACTTGTTTACTCAAAGTCAGCGTAAAAATGGCAAGTAAGTGAGAGAGAAAAAGACAGAAAACTAAATTCACGCTAAAATAGAAAAGTTATTCTTTTTTATTTATTTCCTTAAAACGGAAACGTTTATATATCTTTTACACCTATCATAGGTAAGATAATAAAATCGACGCAATTGAGACAGAAGAAAAATAACGCAGCATCTCTGAAGTAACTATGGTGTTAGAAAAACAGAATATGGTAAGGCGAAAGAAACAGAAAGAACGAAAGGAAAATATTGAGCTTAAAATATAAAATTCTAACAGAACATTTCACATGTAACGATACATGAACTCCGCTCAAATGATTAGCTTTTTTATTTAGCTCTGCTGGCGAGCAATTAATTTGAAAGACTTGCCTACCATGGCCTGAAGAGAAAACCAGAAAGCCATCTTAGTTGAACAAATTCTTTCAGAACTTGACCATTAACATTTAATTTGTTTAACTGAATATTCTCATCGTTAAGAAAAAAGTGCTTTGTTTTTGTCAAACAGTCATATTGTGAACCAGATAACTCAAAAACTAGGCGGTGTCATTTTCGGAAAAATAATCTATCTTAAAGTCCGAGTCAGTACTCTGTATCCGGTAAAAATTGAAGGAAGGTTGCCTTTTAAATTAAGGCTATTTTAGTTAGCTAACTTGTGCGAAAATCAACAAAATTTTTAGTGTATTGTTTTGCTTTCGTTAAAAAGGAAAAAATCTTCATAATGCGATAAAATAGATTATCTTATTTGAAAACGGATATATAGGTACATATATATGTGTAACTTATATTTATAAACAGAAATAATAAAGTTCAGCTTTAAAGTGTGTTAAATTGTATAACCGATAATAAAAAATGAACATTTGTTCTATTCTGTGGAGGTCTGCGGGACAGTCCCAGTCCCGACCCTATCCCGGTCCCGCAGGACTTTTTACGGGACCGAGACCCAGAAAAATCTTTTTTACGGGACCGGGACCTTGAGGTCTGCGGGACGGTCCCGGTCCTGCGGGATTCTCTCGGTCCCGTGGAACTTTTAATAGGATCGCGATCAGGTTTTTTTTGAATATAGTCTTATATGAAGTTAAAAAATTTCTTTGAAAAAATATTTACGGGACCGCGGAACCGGGACCAGGACCAAAACTTTTTTGTTCACGGAACCGGGACGGGACTGGGACCAAAAACGTTTGGTCCCGCAGACCTCTACTATTCTGTACATAGAAATGTATCCGATTTCTTTCATTCAGAAAAATCATAAAAAGAAAAACAAAAGAGAATGGTATTGATCTACATCTACGCGCAGACTTATTTTGACGGCTTCCATAAAGATATTTGTATTTTGGTAATAGATACATATTTATATATACAACTAAATACTATGCGCCGTGATAAGTTTCAAGTACAGGGACTGTAAGTTCTTGATCGAAACCGTTGAACAAACTCAAAATGAACGACTCTCTGAAGACATTCTTCTCGAACCTGAATACCAGATGTTTATAAGTATAATCTCACAGAGATTTCTAAATGATGTTTGATTTAATTTATAAGAATACGTGTCATAAAATTTCCTTTTCATTCTGTAGCAGAGCGTGGGTTTCATCGACGAACGTACCACCTTCACAAACACAGCTCACTTGTTAAACTGATGGCTATCGTTTTCATCACTATTATTACTGAAATCGTTTAATTTATATTTCTATGCTTTGTTAAAATTTATATGAAGAATAATTCTTAAAACAGTTTTATACTCCTTTTATTCGTATATATATATATCATTTAGGAGATTACGATATATACTCGAACTGAAACAAAACTTAATATCTAAAACAGAAATACTATTAATTCATTTGCAGAAACATGCTGACGATTATAGTGGTACTCATTAAATATGTTAACTTGTTTTTAACGTAATTATGCATTCGTTGTTCAATGAAACGAGTTTGTTATTTGTGTACCAGGAATTGTGAGATAAAATACACCTATGCTCAAAGATAAATCAGTGCATCACGCAGGCGTATTGAAAATTGTATCAATAATCTCAGTATTTTCGTCATTCTTTATACATAACATCCAAATTATTTGATTACTCCAGTGATACAACAACTCGCTAATATAGTGGAATTAATGTAAATTCTGAAACTAAATTGCTCCTACTGTTATGATCTGCCATTCCTGGCAGCTCATAAGACTGTGTTTTCTTCTTTTCCTTTCTTTCTGTTATTGCGCAACTCTTGTTTCATTCTTTCGTTTTCGTTTCTTTCTGTTATTGCGCAACTCTTGCTTCATAATGGGATTTTCCTATACTATTTTTATTCTTATGTAACTCTTGCATAACTGTTGTTCAACTTGTGTACTATATATAGCCGTTCACTTTCTTAAATAAAGAGGAGAAGTGAGTGAGTAGAACCTCACACCTACCACAGTTTAAAACCATAAAAAGATCATTCCTTTATGAAAAAGTCAAAATTTTCCATAGTAGATTTGTGTANGAGGAAAAGTAGACGACGAATGAGGAGAGCATATTTTTCAGTAACAGATAGATACTTTCTTTTTCTAGTTTTAGTAAAACAAAGAAATAATGAAAAATGAAAATCACAAGAGATTTGCAGGAAGATTGATGTTCTATTTGCGATAGTCTGGTTGCAAAATCTTCTTGTGAATATTGTTGTCTATTATTGAGCTTAACGTAGGTTCGTGGCGTTGCGAAATTGAAGAGATAATGTAAAAACTTACTGTCAGCATAGAGTTTATATAGGAACAGAAAGTATTTCATCGTTCAACGCAAAAAAATAAACTGCATTTTATTTTACTTATTGAATATTGCAAAAATCTATAAACAACGTTTATGTTTCATAATCAGTGATTATTGGATTATATATACAGCAGAAATATTGTATTTTGCGTAATGCTTGGCACTTACCTTAATCACATTCCCAAGTCAGTACCCATTACACAAATACAGCTATCAAATCAGTTTTGAAATGAGTATTTTTATATGTGTTTCATAAACATCTAATTCTACTTTCAATATTGTCTTCCTTAATTTAAATCGAATTTCACGTCTGATTTTTTTAATTCAACTCATAAGAGTACAGTCCATGATATATATAGAAATTTTTTCACGACTTTCTCATAATTAATGAGAATTTTTAATAATACTGTGTAAATTCATTACACAATATGTGTAAAATTACATCAAAATATTTAAGATCATACAGCCTGCTAATTTTGAGCTATTGAGATGCAATTTTCACATATATTGTAGGTAATGACATGACGAATACCTTTTAATTAAAGAGTATGTCAGAAATCTACTTCTAAAAAGTACCAGAGGTTTGTTTCAGGAAACTCCATGTATTTGAATGGACCGGTCGGAATTACCCCAGGAAAATAGCTGACAGGCCGAAATTACCTCAATCGAGAAAAATGAAAAAATCAGAAATCTAACCACGTCTTACTATATTTTAATCAACTTCATTAGAATAGGTGCTAATCATTTCAAATTAGTATGACAAGTAGAAGAAAAGAAGAGCTTCAGACTGTAATTTCTACCTGATTAGGACTTATCGTTAATTAGCAGAGGTTTGTTTCAGAAAACTCCATGTATTTGAATGGACCGGCCGGAATTACCCCACGCAAAATAGCTTATCATTCCGGCCGGTTTGAAGCTCCCTATCTCCTTTTGAACACTGGTCGAAAACGGAGAGGGATTTTTAGGAAATTTTTACATCAGCGGATATAGAACTGTTAGTTTCATCTTCATATTCAATAGCACAGTTATCCGATTAAAAAAGCCTTCAAAATACGCAAAATACTAAGAAACTTTGTGCAAGTGGCCGGAATTACCCCATCTGACTCTACTTATTCGTACAAATATAGA